TGCACAACACAACGACCTTACCCACCTTTACCCTAGTCTGTTTGCTGTGCCTGTTCTTGTCCGGGAAACTCCTGCATATAGTTTAAAACTGAGTGTGAGATTCGTCTTTATAAGGACATGGACTCCAAGACCTTTTTATTCAAATGTTCAAGTATTTATCTGGATGATTTTAATAAATTGCTATACACTTTTAAGTCTTTCTAGTCATTATTTGTTGTTTTATTTCTCTCTCTTTTTAAAATGTGTTTCTCTCTTTTAAACACTTAATGAGACCCTGCATTGTAGCAGGTAGTGTTCAGAGGGAAATGGAGGAAATTCAGAGCATCAAAATTAGACTTAAAAAACAAAAAGAAATCCATATGTATCACTGGCTTGTGCAACTGTGCACTGAGGCCACTTTGCTTGGGAAGGATGGGTATTCTTGCCACCGTTTCAGGGCTCAAGACCTTGGAACCTGTGCCTCAGGTATCATGAGATGGTGTGATGAATGGATTGAAGATTATTTGAGGAGCGAAGCATTCCCAGCTGAGTCATAGCAACAGCAAAGCAGTTAGCAAATACCACTCCGTTGTGCTCATCGTCAGAAGAGGAAGTGGATGGCGGTCACAGCTTTCGTTGTTTAGTGATTTCTCAGAATAGTTTCTTAAACCTAGGCATGTGGGGAGCTGCCTTGAAGATGAGAGAGGAGGGATGTTCCCAACTTTAAGAGCTTTATGCTCCCACCCATTTCAATCAGAGTAACGTGGTTTGTTTGTTTTTCTTACTTAGGTATTGGACTTTTGAGTAAGATTTTGTAAGGGTCATTTTTGGTTTGTTTTGTTGTCGTTTATCCAACAGGAAAGATTTTAAAACTGATGTGGTAGAATTTTCAAACTCTTTTAGAAAAATTTCAGTCTCTTTCTCATTGATATTTTATTTTTAAGATTAAATGTAATATAAATAAAATGTGATTCTAAAATAAAATGTGATTCAACCAAATTTGATAAAATAAGTAACATAAGTTAAAATGTAGGTAAGTTTGTCTAATGAAGCTAATTGTTGAAGTAAAGGATTTTATTAATAAACATAAGTACTACATTAGTTTGGAATCTTTAAAGCTGGGACACATACTTTGTGTGTAGCATAGTGAAAGAAATTTTTGCAGTAATTTCCCAGTAGTACATGTGGTACTTTAATTGTATAAGATTCATGACCTGTTCGTTTTTTTTAAGATGTCTCAGAGCATGTCTTCGGTATCTTCAAGGCATTCTGAAAAGATAGCAATTAGAGAGTAAGTATCTTATTTTTATTTTGTGGGTTTTCTTTTTCCTGTGAAAAATTTTTTACTGAATTAAATTGTTAATAAATGAAAATGTATTTTATTTCCATGGCAATAATGCTTTAGGTCCAGGTTCTTTGAGCAGAGTGTTTTATACATAGTGATAGTAAAAGTTTTTTGTTGGAAAGCAAAGTTTTTCAAATTGTTACCTTGGAAACATTTAGATTGCATTACAGAACATTCCTATTATGACTTTATCATTCACACAAATATCCTTGAGGCCTTTTTGACTCTAACCTTTCAGCTGGTGACACCTCTTTTAAATCCCACTTATCTCCTTAGTCTTTTTCACTTTAGATAGGAGAATCTTGACTTGTTTTTAAGTTGCAAGGTTTCCTCATTTTTATTTTTTAGATTTCACTTTATTGATATACTACAAATTCATAATACACTATGAAATTTATCAGTTGAATAATTTAATAGTCAGTTTTCCTGGACCATATTACCCTATAGTAATAATTGTTCTTTAGCTTGGGGTATTTGAAAGAAGCTCTGAAACAATAAAGAAAAGCATTGTTAGCACTTATGTGGTCAGTCTTTTATACCTGATAGGATGGATGCAAAAACTACTGAACTAAATATTTTTAAAGACACTTTATTTTATTATAACAGGCCTATTGACCAAATTTTTGGTTGTCAGATATCTTTCACATCTCTTTAGAAATATTTTATCTTCTCTCAGTGATCTGAAAGG